GGTCCTTTAACATCGTACCTTCAGATGTTTCAGTGCCAGGTGTCCCCTCAATCCCAAGGAGGTTTTCTCTTCCCAGGAACTGCAGGAGCTCCTCTTCATAGGGCAGCAGGTCCGGTTCTTGTGAACCGCCTCCTGTCTTCCTTGAGGCGGCTGCTGCCTTCACCTTCCTCTTCACCATCCGCCTGATGTCGTAGTAACTGCAATGACATGATGACATGTGTAATTGATTAATTACTTTAATATGTTTCTATATATATATGTTTACTGACATGTTTAAAGGGATACTATAGGCACCCAGATCAAGCATTGGATTTGCTGATCTTGTCAATTATGAAGATCGCAGCCAAGGAGGCAGAGCACAGCTCTGCTATAAGGATGAGTAATTAAAGGGACACTCCAAGCACCCAGACCACTTCTGGGTGCCAACTCCCACTACCCTTAACCCTGCAACTGTAAATAAATATTGCAGTTTTCATAAACTGCAATATTTACCTTGGAGGGTTAACTCCTCCTCTAGTGGCGTCGCTGAAACCCCCATAGGAAAGCATTTTTCAATGCTTTCCTATGGGGAGGTCTAATGTGCATGTGCAGCATTGCAGCGCATGCGCATTAGGTCTCACCCCGCCGGCGGCAGCACATGCACAATTGGTCTCCCCCTGGGATGAGGGGTGGGAGACGGTTTGTTCTCCTGGCACTGGAGTGTCCCTTTAATTACAGTTACATTGCTGAGAGGGAAGTTAAACTGTGTTTTCACAGTTATAGTGACAGGAATGCAAACATGTATTCCTATCACTATAGTGTTCCTTTAAAGCACATGGTGTTTTTTCCCTCTATGTGCTTAAGTGACCCAACCCTCACTTTTAAAAGACTTTAAAAGCATAGCTGCAACTAGTGGGTGTGTGTAGCAAAAGCACATGGAGGAAAAAAAAAGTTTTAATAAAACATGGCATAAAGAAAATTATTTTTTAGGAATATAAGTGCACTTACCGTTTCTTCACCATGTCCTGGGTGCGGTTGTTCCCTCCAACAGCATTCACCGCTGCCACAATCTTCCTCCACCGATTTTCCTTCTGTGCTCTGGAACTCTTTTTGGCTAGTACTGGCAAAGTTTGTTTACCAGTACTGTATTCTCCTCTGCACGAAAGCTATCTGCATATTTATTCTTCCTCCCAGGATCTGCTCTTTTTAAGATCCTGGGCTGCCTCTGCTTCTGCTTGCTTCTCCCACTTGCTTCTCCTATCTCCTGGCCAGAGTGGCCAATGCCCCCCTCCACTACATCCATGACTTCTATCTCACTTGAGGAGCTGGAGGAGGACATGGCCACTTCTGGCAGGCTCAGTGTTCAAGTGCCTAAAATGGCTGACAGGGTGGTGGGCTGGCTGAGCTCCAAAATGGCTGAATGGCTGGCCTATAGAAAATCTGGATAGATTTTGCATTGAAGGACTGCCTTGAGTTGATACTTTTTTTTTTCTACAGTTTTGTCTGGCAGTATGTAAAAGCCTATTTAATTGGCTACTACTTCTTTCCCACTCCCTTATAAAATGATACTGTGTTGCCAGTACCACCTGTCAGGGAAGCATGATGATTCATGAGCCCAAGAAACTAAGCAAAAGCAATGCATTGCATTTGCAATGTCATTCGACATGCGAATGACTATTGTAAGTGGTGTTCGGTAGTTTACTAATAGTGCCAATACATTTTCATGCGAACGACAGTGTTCGTGCATTTGACGGTTCGGGAATTTGTTCGGGAGTTTTAGGCGTAAATAGATTAGAACATTTCAATGCCATGTGTTGGGAGATCAATGTACGAAAATGTAAACGAATGAATGGTTTTACTGCGTTCACTTGAGGCTATTCGCTATTTAGGGATTAGGGAACTGACTTTTATGATTGCATTGTATTTGCAATACCATTCGACATACAAATGACTATAGTGAATGGTGTTCGGTAATTTACTAATAGCGCCAATACATTTTCATGCGAATGCCAGCGTTCGTGCATTTGACGGTTCGGGAGTTTTAGGCGTAATACAGCATTCAATCAATGCCATGTTGTTAGCAATGTACAACATTTGAAACGAATGGTTTTACTGAGTTCGGTTGAAGCTATTCGGTATTTAGGGATTAGGGAACATAGTTTTATGTATTCAATTCATTTGGCTCAATTAAATCGCGCCGAATGAACAAACAAGTTTAGCCGAAACGAAAATACTACCGAATATCGTACGAAAACGAATGAAAGAATTGACGAAATTCGGTTCTGACTAAAGTATTTTCTTTTTCGTACGAATACATTCGTACGAAACGAAAATTTCTGAAATGCCCAAGTCTACTCTCCACCCTTTGGTTAAATTATAGAGGAGTGAACCACAACACCTCTTCCGCCTCTGAAAGGATATAGGTCAATATGTCTCAAAGTTCAACACTTCTGACAGCTATGAGTGACTCCCTATTAATTTCTAGCCTTTCCACGGACATGCTTGCACCTCGCGGCTAAGGGCCTGCACAACTAACCACCCTGTGATGGCAGTGGCTTTCCGCATGGGGGTGACGGCCCCCGCAAAATTATAGAGGAGCAAACATACAGCAGCCTCTTTTCCGGCTCGATTAAAGGTTCTGGGCCAATATGTCTGCAATTTAACCAGTACACTCACGTATCACTTGTTGTATATTTCCTGGTCTCTCAGGAATTTCTATTAAATAGCGTATCCCCTTCCCAGGGCAATATACAACAAAAACTAGTCACCAAGGGTCTCTATGGTCATGATAGGCCGCTCTACCACTAGTGTAATACGCCCTTTTTTAAATATATTTCCTGGTCTCTCAGAGATTTTGCCTATCCCTCTCCCAGAGCAATATATATAAACAATTACAAATAAGTTACAAAACGCTACTTATAAGTAATACAGGGTTTCAAATAATAATACAGGATAGAACTGCACAACAACTATTGGGTATGCTCCCCCTTATCCGGACACGTTTAAATACCCCCTAGCTCAGGTTCCCCACCCGCTACTGTAACTAAAATCACAGCCCACGTTATGGAGGTTCACCCGCTAGGCAGATACACCCTAATTCAAAGCATGGAAATATTAAAATCAGTTATAGATGGCTTCTAAAATAATATAAATCTTAATCTGAGCCCCTACACTTACTTTGTTAAAAATGCTAACTTGTTAAAATATTCAGACTAAATAGGACAAAGGAATTATTTTACCATTTTTTCAGTTCATTTGTTACCAGTTCCTGCATATGTCCAGTAATTCCTTAGTCCTGGATACTAAAGCTGAAAAACACTCCACAAATTGATTAGCTTAGGCAATTACATTTACAAAACAATGCAGTTTATTTTTTCTCATACAGGCAAGACTACCCACCCCCAACAAGGACAAATTCTCCCCCAGCTGTAGCTGAAAAGCCTGGTCACACAGCTGTTAAAAAGGTGGTCTCTCCTTCATTAGTCAAAATCATATATATATTTATACTAATATTCTGTGTATACGCACACATAAATCTATTATTCACTGAATCTGCTTTACTAAACGTATCTTTTTCTTAACTACTAATTTAATACATTTTGTCCAAATCTCTTTTCAACTAGACAAATCCATGAATGCCAAACAAATGTAAATTAGTACACAAACAGGGTCAAATTTAGCAATAAAACCTGGTGAACTAGTTTAGTGAAAAGTCTTTTCCTATGCAAATGGTAGCAAACAATGAAACTAGGCCTCAACTCATTCACACCATGTGGTCAATGGTGGATTAAAATCCACATGGTCAGACAAAAAGTAAAATTGTTTTTTTGTTTTATATATAAAAATGACCAAAGGTTGGTAAAACGTAACAAGCAACACAATAATTCATCACTATGTTCTTACAACAAGAGATACCTTAAAAAACAAATATCTAATCCCTATCTGCTATCTGCATTCATTCCATTAAAACCAAATCATCATTCATTTATTCATTTGTATGCAGACAGACAATTTACAGTATGATTTAAGCAAAATGCATAACATTTATATTTTCCCCAATATTCAAGCATAATCCTGCCGACTACGCCAAATGTTGTGGTCATGACCTAAATATGAATATTAATCTCTTAATACATAATAATTAAGCAATACGGAACAACATTAATATTTTTATAATTCATGGTATTATGGTCGAATATGTGGATAGAAAATACACAAAACGTTGTAATATTAAATGTATATTTAATATAACTATAATAAATAAACAGATGCTAGCGGAATGTCAATTTCAATAATTATACAATACTACACAAAACACTATTGGTTGCTAAATATTATACAAAAGGCTATTACAATTGCTAACTGTTACAATACAAACATATTACTTACAAGGCCCCAGCCAAAGGGCTGGGGCTAAGTCAGAGCTGGTGCTACATGATCAGTCAGGTACAGGCAAACAGAGAGCTAGCTTCTCCTCACATCTGGGTTTTATTCAGTGTAAGTAGGCTGGCCTGTGATGTCACTGCCAGAAGCACAGGTCTTCCTACACACTCCCCCTAATGGTGCCCCCAAAGCATTACACTAAATATGCTTTACTGACATCTAGTGGTGCGTCTAAAGCATTAAGCTCATTATGCTTTTTTTTATGACAAAAAGTCATTAATTAATAAATACCATTACAATGGTGTATACGTCTTTAAATCTGCTAGAGGCAGATTAAGTGTGGTATACACCAAATAATCTACTTAGTGCAAGCAACTATGTGACACAGAACAACAGCGTAGAGGGCTGTTTTCTATATTATGCTTTAGTTGATGTCACAAATCAATATAGTGACACAACTATGTATAATGTATATCTCTTTAAATCTGCTACAGGCAGACTGACTGAGTTGTGCACCAAAAATGCTTCTTTAGCCAAAACTGTCAATCATGCAGATTAAAAATACATTACTTGGTACAGTATTTTATAGTGCAGTAACTTTAAACATTATTAAAAAAATATATAAAAAGTTAAAAAATTTTAAAACCACTATTTAAAAATAGAAAAAGGAGAATAGTTAAGAACTAATGAAAAATGTATTCACAATTATAGAATTATAAAAATACTGAAAATTTTAAAAATATAAATCAGGAACGGTTTTCAAGAGAATTACCAGCAGAAAGGTAGTCCTTTTTTCAAAATAACCACTGAGACCAGCTGGGATTTATGTGGATACTTTGTATCAGAATTAGTTTCTGTACTTGGCTGAACTGGGAATACAAGACAAGAGATACAAGGCAAAACAAGAGGGGTCATAACTAAGTACTATATTTGTAAAAAATTGGAGATTCAGATATACATAAGTGGCCAAGATGTATGCAGCCCACCACTGCGTCAAAGTATTCCAATTAAGGTGGGTTCCTATCTGCCTAGATATGCATGACTAAATAAACAATAATAAAACACACACAGCACTTACCTGCAAGAAAGGGGAAGATGACTTGGAATAACTGCCTGCAGGAACCAACTGAAACAAAAGGATTAATGAAACGTAACGGGTGTGGCAACATAAAACAAACATATAAAAGGAACCCAGGAGACTGAGAATTCCAGGAACGGAATAAAGGAATGAACCCAGCATAAAGAAAACCAGACATGAAATAGAAAACCATAAAAACCAAGAAAAACTAAACAAGAATTGTAAAAACAGTACTGGATACCAGAAGCCAAGGCCAGACATCTCCACAGAACAGAGCAGGATGTGACACATACATACAGAGACACACACATACACACAACACACACATATACAAAATGTTTCTTGCTTCCTACCTTTTGCAGGAGGGTGACTTTTCCTGGGGTCCACTCTGACTCCCTCCTTCCTCCTGCACAGCTCTCTGATAGCTGGGAGGAGTGACGGGCAGTCACTTCCTCCCAGCTCTGTCTGATGTCATCACAGGGGGCCGGGTCACGCTGTTACAATGCCCAGCGCTGACTGGGCCCACTGCAAATCCATCTCCATCGGGTGGCCCTAACAGCATGGGCCATCCGATGGACCACTTAAACGGCGGCCCCAACGATTTGCCGTGTGGGCCGGGGTCACAAAACATGGCGGCTCGTACCCGGTTGCAGGGGTCCGCAGGCTGGCTGGGCCCCCTGGAGTGATGGGCTTGGTCGCAGCTGCGACCCCTGAGACAGCGGTATGTACGCCACTGTATCTATGCATAGGGCATATTCATTTTTTTTTTAAAAGGTTATTAATATAGATTAATCACAATAGTGATGAAATGATATAGATGAACAAGAAAAGAAAAGGAAATCTGATATTGCAAACACATCATTTGCTGCATTCTATTGCATAGACCACAGATCTATTAGAATGACTTCAACTCCTATTGCTCTGAGCAACAATTATTTAATAGGTTTAGGGCCTGTCCAGTGCCACCACTCACTCACTGGTGTCACAATAGCTTGCATTTAAAAAAAACAAAAAACTTTTTGGACTGTAATATAATAGCAGTCAGTTTCCTTCACGCGTGTGCGTTTCAGGGCCTGCCAGGGCACAGTGTCACACCAGTGCAACTCATATCTGGTGTAACAGTAGTGTACATTAAAAAAAAATACAATTTTGTCTGTAATAGCAGTTAGTTGACTGCCAGCGTGTGTGTCAGGCTCACAGCGTATACTGTGCCCACTTGCCCAGTGCCACCACTCATATCCGGTGTCACAATAGCTTGCATTTAACAAAAAAAAAATTTAGGACTGTAATGTAATAGCAGTCAGATTCCTTCACACGTGTGCGTTTCAGGGCCTGCCAGGGCACAGTGTCACACCAGTGCAACTCATATCTAGAGTAACAGTAGTGTACATTTTTAAAAAAAATTGAATAGATTGAATAGCAGTTAGTTGTCTGCAAGCGTGTGTGTCAGGCCTACAGCGTCTACTCTGCCAACTTCTGCCACTCATATCTGTTGTCACAGTAGCTTGCACGCATAGTACCACTAATCGAACAAAAAAATTACAGGCCACCCCGCAGGGGCTGTCGTGGTCGTGGTGCTGTGATTCCCTTTGGCTCTAGAATAATGACCAGTGTTCAGAGGCCACGTACCCTGAATTCGAAAAGTTCTGAGGACATAGTTGACTGGCTAACACAGGACACCCAATCTTCTACAGCTTCCGCTCGGAACCTTGATGCACCATCCTCCTCCAGCTTAGCTTCGGGCACCTCTCAAGTTATCACTCGCCCGCCTGCCGCCACCACCAACACTAGCACCACAGCAGCTTCACTTGGTATGTCAGAAGAGTTATTTACATATCAGTTGGAAGAAATGAGTGATGCACAACCATTATTGCCATAGGATGTAGATAACAGGGATATGTCTCAGTCACGCAGCATTACACACATGGACGTACGGTGTGATGATGATGATGATGTTGTACCCGCTGCTGCTTCCTTTGCTGAGTTGTCAGATACAAGTGAACTGGTTGATGATGACGATGCGTCTGTGGATGTCACGTGGGTGCCCGCTAGAAGAGAAGAAGAACAGGGGGAAAGTTCAGATGGGGAGACAGAGAGGAGGAAGAGGAGACGAGTTGG